AAGGAGTCAGACATACCACGCCTATCTCACTGAACCGCCCTTCCTAATTGAAAGACGGTAAATACACTTCAAATCCCTTAGAGAGGGTGGGCGTGGCCACGCACTTCATCTCAATGAGCGATATGCTCATTCTAAAGGAGTCATAGACATGTCTCTGCCCAGCACAAGATGACAGTTGCGAATTGAACTATCCCACGAATAACCAATCTTACGCCTCCACCGGATCTCGGGGATAAGAAAATAGGATTGGTGTGTGAATGAGGAAAGCGACCCACACAACCGTGGAGTGTCGAAAGCTCGGAACAAAGCATTGTTGGCAAAATGGAGATTGGAACGCCTAACTAACTACAGGGCTCATCATTGTTGGAGAATCCCCAACAGGAAAGTATTTGGTCGCTGGGAGAGGGGGGTCGTATTTGGGCTGAGAAAAATTTATTTTGATAGTTGATTTTTCTTGTTTCACGGACGTTGTAAGGAGGGTTGTATTTGTTCGTTGTTGGGAGGAGAGGAGGTCTCATAATCCCTTCTGGTCTTCTAAGAAGACTGCTGACTTGTCGTGATTTTCCCTGTTTCATGTGTACGGTATACTCCTCCCCCCCCGCTCGACAGCTCGATGAGGAGGAAACCAGGGGGGGGGGTTGTACGACCTACGGTCCTACGAGCTCGACCAAATCCCCAGCTAACGAATGATGTGCCCTGCCTATGTACCAAACGACTCCAGGGATAAACAACTAATAATTGGCCCAGTTTCTCTATTTCAGCCAGCATACATTATATAATTAAGTGTGCAGGTCTTATTCCTACAGAAAATTCAGCACCCAGCCGACTGCCTGGTAATGAGTACGAGTTACACTGTCCATGAAGCTTACAGGAATCTAGGGGTAATATAAAAACTTACTCCAACAAGGCACATTCCTTGAATGAAACTATTGTGAGCATTCAGTTCCAGATGATCTCGCTTCTGATCCAACAACGAAAACTTCATGATGTTCTGAAAATCAAGATCGACATTTG